ATTATTCACTAGACACAGACTAGAAAGACTAATCTTGTTATATTAGGGAACCAATTCGTGCAGTCTATTTTTAAGTTACTCGTTTTCCCAATTTTTCTTACGGTAAAATTTCCAACCACCTCTATTATAGAATTTATATACGTATGTGTGACAATTTAAACTGCATGCATGAATAACGATATTCTAATATGGGTTTTGAGTTTTGGTTTAGAATATGTTTTAGGAAAATAAAAAAAAAAATAAAATATTTTTTATATCAATTAAAATTAAAATATCATGTTTCAGAATTCGTTAGGTTAAAGTTTTTATCATCAGTTCAATAATTATTCATTTTTTTCGGTGCATGTAGATGCGGTTTTCTTTTATATTTGCTCTCCTATAGCCGGTTATTATTTTCAAAAATGTTTTCTATTCTGTTTCGCACCTTTTCATATGATATTTTTTTTCTTGCTTCCACTTTTTGTTTTTGTAATTGAAGTGGTTAAAATCTAAGCAGAATTTTAACAAGTTGCTGAGATACAAGATTTAAAAAAGAAATATAAATAACGTAATATTCGTATTCAACTTTTCGAATTTGGTTTATAATGGTAAAAGCTGGCGTGTCGAATATGATGACAACATTATTCATTTTTGAATTTTACAAATAAAAGAGCTTACTCTTGGTGCAACCAAAATTCTAGCCTTCTTTTTCCATATTTCATTTTAGTATTTTGAAATTTTAATTAAGATCGTAAAATTTTTTCTTATGCGTTAGTTAATTTTGCTCTATTTCTTTCCTAATTTCGTCCTTTTCATGCTTAGGGCCTCTTTGCTTTTGCCATGTAACATATACGAACTCAGCGCACATATCAGTATAATTACAGTTAACTGTAGTTCTTAAGTGCATTTTCATTTTTGAAACATGTCTGGAGAATCATTGTCCAGGAGTTGAGTTATTAACAGTATATAGTTAAAGTTATCTTATAGTTAAATAGTCCAACTGCACTGCTTCATTTTCTTAAAAAAAAAATTACGTTTAATTTTTCAACATCTTGTGCACCAGATTTTACCTTCTTGTACTGGTCATACAATGTTGCACGTACAGAATTTCACAAAAAAAAATATAAAAATAAGAACAATAGCGGCAAATTACGTATTTAGAATATATTTTCAGGATGAAATCAAGTAGTATAAAATTCTACGTATGTGTTAGTCATTAGAATTACTAATTTTAGGATATAATTTTCCAATCTGAATACAGAGAAGTACCATAGATTTTGGGAATAAATGGCAGGAGTACTGAAATTTTATAATATTATATATGTGTACGTAATCAGCAACGTTATACCTTTAAAACTAATTTCAATTTCAATGAATAGATTGCTTTCAAAATTAGACCACATTGCAACCGATTTTCCAATGATATTTTCGATTACGAACATTATGTATGTACACTGAGTTATTCCCCTATTGCATTAAGCACTAATATGTTAATTAGTATAGAAAAATATGTCTGAACATTACAGGAATGATACTTTGAATGACAGGAAAAATTGTCTGATTTAATAAATAATAAGCAAAATTTTGATATAATCAAAAAATTTTTAATGTCAACATTCCAAAAAAAATTTAGATTCTATTGCTTTTTATATTAATTAATATTTTGGAATTTTAATGTTGCATTTTAAATAATAGAGGTTTTTGCAAAAAAGTTTGTGAAACTGGCAATCTTAAATTCCAATCACTTATTCAATATTATCACATAATTCATAAATTAAGATTTCAGACTAAAATTTCGAAATTTCGAAAATCTTATTTTCTTATGTGTTAAATAGATTCTCTTATAAAATTATATACATAGGAAATGTTCTTCAAACTGTTAGCTGTTACCTGTTATAAAGAATTTTGAATTAGTATTATGTACTCTTGGATTTTTTAAGTTGTATTGTATTCATTCATGACGTTCACTTTGCGCTCTCACTTCTCAATCAGTTTTTATTGCTTTTTGGACGTAATTCTGTTACGACTACGAATTTAAAGGAAAATGGAATAAACATTAATTTATAGTTCGATTAAATTTAAAATATTATTTTAATGAATACTGTTGAGTTTTTTGTCATTACTCTTTTGATAAAATAACTGTTAAAAATATATTTTTTAAAACCTTTTGTTTTCCTTTTTTTAGAGAAATTGCAATTTTATAATTTTAGGACCACCATATACTTTTGTTCTCTAAATGTCAATCTTATGGTTCTTTTTTAGAAATGTAGTAATAGTAAGTATGAGTGAATTTAATTCTCTCTAATTTTGTATATTACCACTATTAAGAAGAAATCAAGTAAATTTATATGAGTGATTGATTTGTGTTAGTAAACTGTAAATATATTAATCTTCTGATTATAGAACAAGTTTTTATTTATTTATGTATATATTTATAAATTTCATATAACAAGAAAAAAATTATTGGGTTAGGTTTGCAGTAGAATGCAAATTTTAGAAATTTTTCGAATTATGAGAATTTGTAAGTCTCACTTTTTTTGTTACTCTTTAATTAAATATGTATGTATTCATGTATATATGTATTCATATGATTTTTTATCAGACGTTTTATTTATTGAGTATTATTAATTATTCAGTGGTGTATAGTTTAGTATTTTAATAATAAATAAGTAAGTATAAGATAAGTTGTGGAATATTAACCAAAAACGTAAGCATAAAAGCTGAGCAGTGAGCTGAACAATTATTGCTTAAATTTTTAAATAAATGAATTGAAAAAAAATTTCAGTTCTAGAATTTTTATAAATTTTCAATTATTATTAAGGCAAATTATTTTTTATAGCCAATATCCAATCATTACTGCTTCAAGTCTGTTGACATTAGTTTATGGATTCATAAGACGTTACGGCTTACATTATACATTGTATATTTAAAAAAAATTATGAGCCTGATATACCAATACTTATGTCTCAATTGATTCTAATTCAATGCCTAATTGGTAATTACTATTATTATGAAATCTCTGTTTTAGAAAATTTACTTGTCATTTATTTTAATTGACACGGAATGAACTAAAATATATTTAGAAGAATTTAAGATGCTACTATTAGTTTAACAAATTAGTTTTAAAGTATGGCGTAAATCTTATTGAAATTTACAAATAAATTAATCTACGAACAAGTGGAAGAATTTGAAGGATCCTCATGGAAACATTAAACTTACCAGTTATAAAAATTATAACATATTTTTAATTATAACAAGAGAATTATTCATTTATTTGCTTACATATTATGTATATTAAAAATAACGGGTAAAAATCAACACTAGATTTTTTTTTACATAATTTCATCACTGGTTCTCCTCTCACCCACCGATAAACTACTCACTACCTTATTCTCTAAATCACATTTGTGTAATGTGTTTGTTTACAGTAATATTATACTTTATAATAATATTCTGAGTATATATTTCATGTTAATCAAAAATATATATTATTTATTGAGAGCGAGAGAGGGAGAGCAATTTGTCAAAAACAAAAAATGCATTTAATATTTATATTAGACAAAATATACTAAAATAAAATTATTTTAGCTCTTTTGATTCATCGTACAATATGCATTTAACATTATACTTAGATGCATATGTATTATGTATATATGAATGTATATCAAACCGTAATGTTATATAAAATAAAATAATTTTCTTCTATTTTTATCAGTTTTGCGTAACATGCAATATCTACTATTTCGTTCTTTCTTTTTTATAATTTTGAATATATTTTTTTCTCATTACATATTATATGTATATATACATACTTGTAAAGTGCATAATTATTTTTAGCTATATAATATGTATATATGGGTACAAACTTATACGTTTATGTCATATGAAAGAGAATATTAACCGTATGTTAAATATATATGCACTTATCTATATAGAATTGTACGTCTGTATATTACATACATAAATATTATGTATATGCATGTGCATAACATTACATTTCAAATAAATTTTTAATTCATGTATGTACATATAAGTATAACCACATACTTACATACATCTATGTTAAAAAGAAAAACTTACATGTGTGTAAGTCTGTTCTTTATAATTAAGGAAATTTCTTATAAGAAAATATTTTTATATGTACATACATACATACATATACGTATGTAATTGTGCAGCGCAAAATTTCATGTATTGAGGAAAAAAAAATGAATTTTTTATTTTTTACATGCATCATGCAATTCGATAAGAAACAAGGACGAGGTTAGAGAGACGAAAGTTAAAATTAAAGTGCATTTTTTATTTTATATTTGTATTTAACTTACGTACATACATATTATTCGTATATTGAGTACACACATGTACACATAGAGAGTGTAAGAAGAGGTATATCGGAAAAAGAAATACACAATAATAAAAAACAAATATAAAAATCTATTCAATAAAGAACAGAAAAGAAGAAGAAAAAATACAAAGTAGCAAAAAAAAAAAATTTTAAATATGCGATTTATACATGCATACATACATACATATGCACATGTATAAAAAAATATTTTTTTATGGTGGCAAAAGTTTAAGTTCCGTCATTGTGTCGAACCAGTTCAGTTCAATTTTTGTTATTATCGTGTTGTGCTTGTTGGCTCTGGCTCTCTCAAAAAACATTCAAATTAAATATTATAAACAAATATTATTAAATTTTCTATTCGTGTTTTTGTTTTTAATTAAATTTCGTATTCTTAAGAATATGAAAAGAAAAAATTTATTAACTTGTTTAAAATGTTACAATTTTTTTTTTACTCTCTTTTGATGAATGCAACATTTTCATAAACATTTATAAAAATAATTAAAAAAAAAAAAAAACGGTAAAAAAATTTTTTTTTTATAATTTTTTTTTTTGAAGTAAAATTAAAAATTGAATGTCCTATATATTAATAATACAGTAAATATTTTTTTAAATTATTTACAACAACAACAACACATGTGTATATAAATCAAACAAAATAATAATAACAAATAAAAAAAAATAGAAACGAACTTGAAAAACTAGTAACAAAAAAAAAATATTGTGAATTTTGCCGATTGTATGCAACTTAATTGAAAATCAAAATAAAAATATTTAGAAAAGAAATTTATTTTAATTAGAAAAATTATTAATTAATAGTGATATAGTTGTGTGCTTTATAATTAAAGAAATAATTTAATTAAAATTCACAAGATACTAAACTTAAAACTTGTATCTAATTAAATTACTAATGCCCACTTAATAATATTATTTATTCAATTTGTTTATACAAGAGCCCCCTATTATACTGGATACGTGCAAACTTTTCTTATTATTATAAAATATAAATAAAATATGATATTATGTGCAAATAAATACATACATATATTTAAAAAAAAATATATACATACATAATATGCATATATATGTATGTATGGATGTACAAAAAGTTATCAGTTTAACTTGTATTTAACTCAGATAAGAAGTAAAATTAATAAAATCAACAAAAAAGAAAAAAATACAATAACAAAATAAAAATTATTAAATGAGAATTTAGAAATTTCAAATTAAAAGTAAAATTATCACACATACAGAGAGAGAGAGAGAGAGAGAGAGAATAAAAATAGTGAGCCGCTCGCGAGTCTTAAATTGATTTGATTACAATTGATAGAAAAAGAGAGATTTAATATAAAGTTCAATTAACAGTGAGAATAATAATAAACAAAAAAAAACAAAAGTGAAAATAATAATGAAAAAAAATTATTAAAATAATCAATCAATTGATCAATCGATCAATCAATTATGATCGAGTTCTAATAAGCTAAATTAAATTAATAATATATGTATGTAGTTGATTGCTATTATTAATTAAATTTAAAAGCACCATTTAAGTAGTTACTAACTTCAAAAGATAATTTTTTTTTTCCAACACATTCTTTGGTAAATAAAAGTTGCCTATATATATTGTGTAATATACTTAAATGTATGTATTTATGTATGTAATATAAAACCGCATTTGTATGTTTAAAATTCAATGCATGTGTACTTACATTTATTCAATTTAACTAAGTGCATTGGACATGCCAACATCACAAAATTAAATATAGCTGTGCGTTGTTGTTCCGGACATTCGGCTTTTTAAGAAATATTTTTGTTAATTATTATTTAGCATTTCACTATAATTTTAAGTAATAATTTTTTATGTTTAAAAATATTAAATTTCAATGAAATTGTGGAGTTAAAAAAATTCAATTATTTTAAATTTAATAATGAATTTTAAACAATATAAATGCGGTTTTGTTTTTTTTTGTTTTATGAACTTCGGCCTCCTAATTTTAAATATTTTCTCATATTATCGCAATCTCGCAAATTAAACTGTCATATTCCATATATATTATTGTTGTTATTATTATAATGGTATTTGATAAAAATGTTATTAAAAATATCAACAATATAGTAGTTATTTATGTATAATAATAATAATAACACATAACAAAGTACAAACACATTATGAAAATGTCTATTTTAATTTTTGTTCGGTAAAATACAAAATTTCTTAATATTTTTTAAGATGTACATAAGAATATGTAGAGTTTTTGCAAAACAAATTCAAATCAGAGCCAAAAATTCTCTTTCAAAATTTTCCAGACAAACGAATACGTGAAATTTAAAAAACAAAAAATTATTTTTAAAAACGTTTCGGTCTTTTGTTTTTGCGGTTAAACTCTCAAAAACCAGTTTTAGCGAATTGTACATACTACACAATATGCACTTATGTACGTACACATAATGTATATATGTATGTAGATAGGTATTTCTATATAAATAATATTGTGGTGAAGTGATTTTAAAAATATTTCATGTTTGAAAAGGTAGAAATATTATAACACAAAAATACATACTAAGAAAACAAAGTGAGACTATAACTAAAAGATTTTTGTATAAACAACAACAACAACAGCTAACGAAGAATATAAAATAAAAATTAAAGTTAATTATATATTTTTACTTAATGCTTTAATAGTGTGCTGCAACATTGTAGTTATACCCACATTCAGTTCATACACATTTAAGATGAAGCACGTTTTCGCAAAAATGTAATACCAAAGCGACCTAAAATATCAACAACAAAATATAAAAACAGTAAAACAGAAAAAAAAATATTTCCCATATTTTACTCTTTTTATTCCCCTTACAGTTTCTTTATTTAATTCAAATTCAAAAATTAAAAGCTATATAGAAAAATAACACTAATACAAAAAAAAAAAATTTGCACAAAATCTAAAAAGTACTGAGAATTTTTATTAAAAAAATTATTTTTCAAAACAGAGAAAATTTTTTATTTTCTCTCATGAGAAAAACATAGAGAAAAAGAAAACGAGAAGAGTAAAAGAGAAAAATAAATAGAATAATTGCAAAAATGCAAATTTGCTTTTCAAAAAAAAAATAAAAATCAAAGAGAGAATAAGTTGTCGTTGAGAAATGAGAAGAGTATTATTTAAAGGAGGGGAAGATTAAATTAGAATGAAGAGAAATTATTGTAAGTTTTGTTTTAATTGATAAATGATAACATGCATATATGCACACATGTTATGTTATGTTATTTTGTATTTTTTGCCTTTTATTAATGTTATTTTATAATAAAGAGATAAAGAGATAGGACGACAAAAAGAAAAAATTAAATAAATTCTTAATAAAAATTTTTAAAATAAATTTTATTTTTGCTTCTCATTCTGAAATGTTTTCCTATTTTCTCTTAATTCGAAAAAATATGCAAAGCGCCAATATCTTGTATTCTATATTCGTAATTACTATTTTTTGCTAAAATATTAAATAAAAATATTTTTCGAATTAACTGTGTATAGAGCTATAAAACAATTTTTTTTTTTCATGAGTTATCGATCTAATGATCATAATCTAATATTATTTTCTATATATGATAATATACATTTGCATTTTGTTCTTAAACTTTATATAGGATCTTCATAGGAGCAAGAGAATTAAGTTCTTTATAGTTCAGCTGGTTTAACCTAACCTAACTTAATTTTCGTTTAGGCATATATGTACATAAATACACACACATTAATGAACAAGATCTAATGAAAACACTTGTATTTTCCTGTACGAATTTTAGTGTGAGTATAATAGTTAAGGAAATAAAATATAAATAACTTTTAAGAAACTTTTGAAAAAATTTTATATTTGCAAAAAAAAAAAAATTCATTTATATGTAAATAAAATATAATATATATGTTTTTACTCACAAATACAAGTTAACCCTTTTTAATTGCATTCGTATTTGAAAATTATAATTTTTTAGCCAATAAAAAGAATAAGAAAAAATTGTAATAAATTGTATAAAAGTTTTGATATTTATGCTTAGAGTAGTGCATGTGTGTTCGTACATACAATTGGAAGTGTCTGTATTAGTGTTTAAAATACATTTTTAATAAACGCATTTTAAAAAATTTATTTTTCTAAATTTTGAATCTTAAAAATAATTTTAATTGTTCAAATTTAATAAAAATATTTTAATTTCTTACTAAAAATAAAAATATTGTTTTAGTTTTCTATTTTTACTACGATTTTCTAAAAGTATAACTATTAAAATATTTTATACTGTTAATTTTTTGTGATATACAAATATTAACAAACCCAAATATACTATCACTAACACATACAATTGGGGCGTACTAATATACGGCTTTTGTTTTTATTTCCTTATAGTTTTCCGTTTTTTTTGTGATTTAAAACCCATATACAAGTAGTACCAGTACAATTCACGCACACATTCTTGTATAATATATGCATATATGTGTGAAAATTAATTTTTAAAAAGAGTGCATTATATATTTTTATAATAATTATAAAAACAACAAAATAAAAACTATGTACATACATAATAAATAATATGTAAGTGTATAAATATAAAAATAAAGTGAAAAAGCGAAATTGAAAAAAAAAATGTTTATCATCTAACTGAAGATATCCAGCTACGCTTCAACTAAGTTGCAGTTGCAGATCTTTCGTGCACATTTTAATACAACATTCTCTATTTTGCTCTTGTACAGTGTATTTGCAATAATAATAATTAGAAAAAAATTTAAATAATTTGCAAAAAAAAAAAAAAAGAGAAAAAAAATAAAATCAATAATTAAGTGAGAAAAAGAAAATTTTATTAAAATTAAAAAATATTCACTTTTTGTGTTTGCAAAAACAAAAAAATTAATTTTAATTTTTTCCACTGTTAAATTTGATTTTTTAAAAAAAATACTAAAATTTTAAAGTGAAATAGGAAGAGAAATCAGAAACGATCCTCTAACTGTTCGAAAAACAAAATTAATTAAAATTTATAAATAAAATTACATAATTAATACCAAATTTTGTGAAAAAAAGAGAATAAAATTAAATTAGAAAACTTTTTTCTTATGCAAATTTGAAAATTGCATTGAAAATTTTGTTTTTACACTACCGTCGCTATTTTTCTTTTTGTTCGGATCAAAAAAAAAAATTCGACAGAAAAGCAACTTCTATTGTGAATATTGTAAATTGTGAATAAATAAATAATAAAATAAATAAGTAAGTATTTGAAACAAAATAAAAGAAGAAGAGATTTTATAAAAATTAAAAAAGAAATTGAAAAATAAACAGTGTGTTAAAATTAAATTAAAAATTAGTGCGAGATTTTTGAAAAAAAAATGCGTGCAAATAATTGTGTTTAAAAGAAATATTGAAATATTCAAAATTGTGAATAAAAATGTAGAAAGAAAAAATAATTTAAAAACTTAAAAATATTTTTCAAATTTTGGTATTTAAAAAAATTAAAATTATTATTGTATAAAAGTCAAGTATAATTGAATTTAAAAAAACAAAACAAGGAAATATTCCAACTTTTAAGGACATTTGCTAGTTATAGCAAAAGTGAAAAAAAAAAAAATAAAAACAGATCAGTTTTGTGAATAAATTAAAATAAAAAAAAATTAAAAAAATATTTTTTTAAAATAACTTTGAAAAACATCCCAACAAACACACAATTGTGAATAATAAATTTTGTTAATTATTTTATTTTAATTAATTTTTTTTGAAAATATTTATAAAATTTATTATTATTTGTGATTTAAAACCGGTTTTAATCGTATTTAATAATAATAAGTAAACGTAAAATATATATATAAATAAAAGTAAAAGTATAATATCGAATGGTTTCGGAAGATAATTGGAATGATGCAATGTCCGATCCGGACTTGCTAGATAATAAAAACGATATATGCGGTGGTGCATCATCATCAAGTGGTGGTTCATTATCACCACGAACACCACCAAATTGTGCACGTTGTCGTAATCATGGTCTTAAAATTGCATTAAAGGGACATAAACGATATTGTAAATATCGTTATTGTAATTGTGAAAAATGTCGTTTAACAGCTGAAAGACAACGTGTTATGGCATTACAAACAGCATTAAGAAGAGCTCAAGCTCAAGATGAACAACGTACATTACATGTTGGTGAAATACCACCATTAACACCAGCAATAACTCAAAATATTAAAAGTCCAACAATACTTCCCGATAGTAATCATTCACATCATCCGCCGTCTTCACATCAACACCATCATCATCATCATCATCATCATCAGCAACAACAACAACAACAACAACAGCAGCAACAACAACAACAACCACAACAACAGCCACATCATAATAACAATAATAATAATAATAATAACAATAGCAGTAATGCAACAAGTAATAATAATAATAATAACAACAACAATAGTAATCATCATAATCCACATTCACATCAACACCAAATTAATGTTCCGACTCCAGCTCAGTCATTGGAAGGATCATGTGATTCATCATCAGCATCACCATCATCAACTTCTGGTATGCCAATTTCAGTTCCAGCAAGCCGTAAGCTACCAACACATCATTTAAATGGAGGCAATTTTCCACCAGGTAAGTTCAAATATTAATTTATTTTTTTTTTTTTAATATTATAAGTCATTTCAATTTTGAAATGGAAACTTGCAAATGTTCTTGATTCCAATTTGATAGTCGTGAACAGTTTGAATTAGTCAAATAGTAATTAACAAGCCTCTTGCGCTTAAAAGAAAAAAATCGCAATTATTGAGAAATTAGAGCAAAAAATTCGAATATAGAAAATAAATTTTCTGAATTTATTCCGCGATTAATGAAAAAACTAAAATTATTCACAACTCTCTGCTTTTCACATAATTTTTATTTTATTGTATTCACATTAATCGCGGAAATGTAATTTTTTTCTAAAAAAAACAAAAACAAAAATTAAACATCAAGTTTTATAATCACTATAATTTGTTGTAGTAAAAAGTATGTTTGTGATTTAATTAAAAATTTTTTTTTTTGTAACCTGCAGACTATAATTATCTTGCTTGTACATTTTAACAGTTTTAAATGTTATTCATATTTTGATTTAAAATGATTAAATTTTCGTGTCAAAATAAAGTTGAATTGCAATGTTAAGGAATTTTCGTGTGTATGTATGTGTTTGGAATATAAACGTGTAATAAAGGCGATTTCTGACAGTGAAAAAATTATTTCTCAATTGATATTTGTCTAAGTATAGATAATGCATTTACTGGCTAACAAGAAATATTTAATTTTTAATAAGTATTTAAATAGAAACGTACTTGATTTTTATTATTATTTTGTATTTGAACTTTGAAATGCATTACACTTACTTATACTTCCTTATGAAATTTATTATAATTTATAATTAATTGTTAAAAATCTTTATTTCTTCACTGTAATTAAATTAAATAGGAGGAAAAATTGAACTAATATTAAGCTTAAACTTCTTTAATAATATTGAAAGTAATTATGACAATTAATAATAATAAGTAATTAAATTTTAAATTAAATTGCAAGCCCACATTGTTGCGTTTAATAAATTCTATAAATTGATTATGATTATTCATTATACTTGCCATTATATAATGTAGTTACTAATTTGAAAAGTACACGTTTTATAAAATTTGTAGCAGATTCTGGTTATGAAAATTTTTTTTGTTAAACATAAAGCTTGTTATACAAAATGTGAAGTTTTTATCGGTTCGGTGTTTTAATTTTGTTATATGCATATACATATATGTATATATAGTTATAAATCAATATAACAGTTACTTAAATGTGTAACGAATAAGTATTTATCTTAATATTCTGCGCACTAATTAATTTTTTCTGAAAATTTCCTTGATTTTTAACAAAACTTTTAATAGGGTTTAAGAACGATTTAATAGGCTTTTGACTAAGTACGCAATAATTTTAAAAAAAAAAAATTTGTCAGTTGAAAATATTAAGCCTATTTCAAGTACAATTGGACTACTTATTAAACAAGTTTAAATTTTACACTTCTTGCGTTGATTATACAAGGTTTATATTGATAGAAGAGGACTAGAGTATGCAATAATAAAGAATAAACTATTGCTATAACTAAAAAAATTTTGAATATTTATTTATTGTTACAATATACGGAAATGTGTCTGACTAATTACAGGGTAAACTAGTAACGTGTTATAATCTCTCGGGGGCAGAAAATCCCAGTTGAAAATTTTCGACAGAAATGTTTCGACAAAAATGTGTATCGACACTTAAATGGCTTAAACTTCTATAATTAATAACCGATTTTAAAAAATTTTAAATTCGATACTAAATCTAAATAAGAGTTCCCTTTAGTTTCTCTTTAGTTTTTTAGCTTACAAACTGAATTTTTTCGTAAACATCGGAAATCGTTTTATTGTAATAATTCTAAATTTTGAATAATCAATTTTAACTAAAATTTGTCTTAATTATGTGGGAATTTTATGGAGATTGTTAAAATTAAATTTCATTCTATAAGTAAATTAATTTTTTAATAAATTAATGTTAATTTTGATTTTTAAAAACAAAATTCTAAAATTGTTACTTGTTTTTTTCTGCAATATTTTTCAATGATTATAATTTGAAAATTATACAATCATTAATTAGAATAAATTTAAAATTAATTTATGAATTATTTAAAATTTTCTTTAAAATATAAAATTTTATTTTCTTTAATGAAATACTTAAAATTTCATTAAATGCCACAAATCAAATTGACAAATTAATTTGGCAATATATTTTAGTATAGATATGTGTATGCGGTTAACATATAAGTATGTATGTTAACCAAAATGTTATTTTATTAATTAATATTAGGATTAGCTAATAAGTATTTTTAAAGAATTTCATTTAATATTTTAATCATTTAGAATTATAGATACACTTGTTTTAACAAATTAAACATGAAGTTTAAAAAAAAAAAAAAAAAATTTAAAAGATTTTTTTTTGGCATTGTGTAAATGGGAATAATATCGGATTTTATATTAATATTAGCATTCAAAATAAATTTAAAAATGTATGTGAGTATTCTTATTAATTCTTTAAGTCAATAGATTTATTAAGAGTTTTTTACAAATCAAATCTCTTGTAAATTGTTAACCCTATAGGATCTATTGTGTCCTCCCCCCCGTGAGAGTAGAGCGCGGCCCTACAGCAACCTCTTGAGAAAATTGAATCTCTTAGTTCATATACTATTTTATATACTTGTTTTTAAATAATGAAATGAATCCTAAAAATTCACAAAAACAAAATTTGCTGTGAATGCATCAATAAAATTTTTTGTACTCGCATATTATTTATTGAGCACCTATAAAATATGAGTCTGCTTCAATTCACAAAAATTTTTTCGAACCTAAATGATTTTATTACTCTATTCCTTCTAATTCTATTTTCATTGAATACAATGTGATTGGCACTTTCCCAGTAATGCGTAATCTAACAAATTGCGTACAGTTGAAAGTTGCTTTTGAGTGAAACTTAATAGAATAATCCACTTAATAGAATAATTTTTTATTCTATACACAAACTTAAATGTTTTATTTCTAAAATTTTAAACTATAACACTTTATTTTTAAAATCTAAATGTCCCATATCAAAAGCAATTATTTTATACAAGTAATTTATATTAATTAGATTTTAAATGCTTAGCGTAAAAAAATTATATTATTTGTATGAAGAAATATTTTTGAATTTCTATATAGCATCAAATGTAAGCAAGTTTGTAAGATAAAAAAAAATAATTTTATAAGCTTTCATTTCTAGCTCTTCTTTGGATTTAGGAAAGAGTTAATCAATCAAATATAGTTGACCGTATTATAATTAAAATTCTTGTTATATTAATAACAATTAATAATATAACTATACAGGCTTATTAATTAATCAGGCTATTATAAATTTACATTGATATTAATTAAATAAAATTAAAATAATTAGATCAAGTTTAAGTCAGAATTAGTAAGATCATGTAAGAGAGGTTAAAACATTTCAATTCATTTTTGATAAAAGTCGAGTTTCTTTATAATTTATTTAACTAATATTAATTTCCACTTAGTTCAGAATATTTTGATTCTAATTTGAATAGAAATTTTTCGAATTAATAAAGTTGTGGTATGTTAAATAGTTTTGAAAAACTGCATAAAATGTCTTAATTTTTTGGGATAAGATGGGTGTTATTAATTTGATTGCAGTTGGAATTTGTTTCAACCAACCTAAGTACCTGAATTGTAATCATACTTTATTATTAGAAATTTAAATAATAATTTTAAGCTATGAGTCAATTTTTGCTCAATTTTCACTCAAATTTTGCTCTTTTCCATCAAAATATTTTCGATTTTTGAAGAGAAGAAGAAGATTCAAAAAATTAATTAATAAAATAATTTCATTTAAATTTAATAAGTATTTCAATTCTGATATCGTTTATATATACATACGTATATATAAATAAATATATATATATATATATATATATTAAATTAACAAATATTAGGACTCGGATATTCGCCTTTTGTTATATAAGTGCTGGTTTTTAATGATCTTATGTACGAAACTAATTAAACGATTCTTTTAAAATTTTTATATTTAATTTCTATATTAATCTAATCAAAACAGATTTATTAAAATTTATATTATTTGGAAAAATGTAATCGCTGATAACATTAGGTCATTTGCTAGATTGTAATATATAGATTCGAATGGAAGGGTATTTCCATTCCACTCCATTCCATTATGGTTTGTTGTTTTATTATTATTTGAATTTATAGGTTTTAAACATACTAAGTTACAATACATACATACATACATATATATTGTATTAGTTATTATACTTATTAGTTGAAATACTTATTATACAAACATTTGAAATAATTCTCGAAAATAATTTAATTTTCAAATTAAAATTCATTAATAATTGTAAATGAATAAGATCAAGTATTTGACGATTCTCAAATTAATTGCATTCATGAAAGTACATTGGCTATACCCTGGACATTATTCGGTTTTGTTTTTCTGCCGAATTATTTCATATATAATTTTAGAATGCATTTATAAATAAATCAAACACTTTAATAGTTAAATTAACAATTTTTTTTTTTTTGGTATTTACAAAAATTTGCCATTTTAAAGTAATTGTTTCTGGCTATATGAAAATAATGTGCCAAAATGCATTAAAAATTGAATATTTATGGCAGAATAACAAAATATCAACTGAACATGTTTTCATGTGCCAATTATAGGTATTTTGATTTGTTTTTCTTTTTTTTTTGTTTTCGTTTGTTTTGCTTTCATTGTTTCAATTTAAAATTATTTATGCAATTTAAATTTACATAAATAATATGCAACATTGTGCATTAAAAGTTAGAGAAAAAGAATGTTGGCTATTCTGGTTGAACACATTAGAATCGTGTGATTTCGTGATTGAATCAAAAAAAAAAAAAAAAAGCCATTTTTTTGTCTAGTGTTATTGTTGGCTTAGTGTCTGTCTAATGTAAAAATAAAATGTATACAAATGTACATACATATGTGTTGTTCTCATACCATGCAATTTTTATTTTTTTGCATAA